TCTTCTGACAATCAAATAGTCTCTTGTCTAGGCGTAGCAAGAGGGTCTATTCTCCCATGAGACAGTGTTATGACACCAACAACCAGAGACCAAGTTGGACTACTATTATGTAAGTTTACTGATGAATAAATAAGATATTTAAGAGCATAATTTTGTATTATTAGTAAAGCATTTCATACATATATCACATGTACAGTGAACCAAATTAAAGTTTTAACAACTTTTGGAGGTATAAATATATTTCTAACTATTAATGTATCCAGTTATTTGCCACAGTGTTCAACCAACTACCCAATAGTTTATATAATCATATCTTTGTTTACATATATATATCATCTAATAAATTATATATTTAAAATAACTGTACTTTGTTATTACTAATTAACCTCAGCCTCCTGGAGTAACCACAGGAAGGCAGACTTCAATCACATTTGAGATTGAGAGTATTTAAAAGTGAAATTTAATTGGCCTAGCTTCTCACTATTCCTATCTTAGAAAGTATACAGAAATTATTTGTGTTCTCTCTGATTACTGGAGCAACTCATGATCAGCAAACAGGATACTTAACAATAAGTCTTAACCAAAAATGGAGAGAAAATGGGAGATGGGGAAGACATGTAACTTTATTCCATTTTGTCTCAAAGAAAACAGGTTAGCAAATGAAAACTAGCCTGAATAAATAGACCCGCTATTTATATCTACAATTGAATTAAATCCATTTTTGATTCTGATCTAAGTCCATAATACTAGACTTATAGTGAACAGAAAATGTCCAAATATTTGGTAATTTAGAAAAATCAACTGCACTAAACAATTGAAAAACTACACAAATGTGTATTTAAAAAGCCAAATATTCTAAACTGCAATGAAACTGCTTAAAATCTCATGAGATTCATGATAAAAATATGAAGAACTTCAGCGAATGTGAAATATACGACAGTAAAAAATGACCGAAAATCTGGCAACGTATCTGTAGGTCTGACTTAGGAGGAAGAGCCCCCGGCAAACGGGTGCAAGGTTTTTATACTCTGATGGACTTAACAGGGTAACGAACAGCTTAAACGGGGAAACGAACAGGAAGCTGGAAACGGGCCTGACAAGTACGAAAAAGAATCCCTGATTGCTAGAATTAAGTACAATAAAACGTACACGATATGTTTACGGAACATAAAAATCATCTTAGTACAATTAACAATCATAAATAATACTGTTTTATTACAATAATCATGTAAAAATCGATCTACAATCGCTATAGTATTCATACACTGTTTTGCGGTTGTGGTACATAAAGTTCACCTGAGGTTACACACAGTCAACCTAATTTGCATAATCAATACACAAAAATCACTGTGCCGGAAATGGCGGCTGATGTACGAAAGTGAAACTTAACTACTCAAGTTATCTCGATTATACATAAATAAAAATTGTTGAACACTGGGAAAACGGAATGAATAGAACACTGAAAGCATAATGAATTGAATAAGAAAGGTGAGAACCGGTGCCAAAACTTTAAAATAGCCAAAAATCGTCTCATAACCGAAAATCAGGGCTTCCAAAATTATTTTTAGCCAGCCGGACATTTTTTATATTATCCCGATTTTAATCCCTTCTGAGTTCTGACTAAATAAACAAAAGGCAATTATGGTAATCAGTTGCCGAGTTAGCCATCCCAATGATTGACATTAAAAAAAAAGATATTAAACTTTCTTTGATTCAAATTCGAAGTTCTGACTTAAACTGTTAAATTGGCAGTGCATCATTCGAAGTGTGCAACATTAGCGTACTTATATCTGCCTTAGACTCTTTATTTGTGCAAAATAACGTTGTCAAAAACTTTACTTTCGTTTTTATACCGGATGTTATCTTGACAATGGTAAAACATGGACCAGAGACGGATACGTAAATTCCGTGTACGTTTGCAAAGCGTGAATGAGTGGAAGTAGCTCTTTCTACGTTATTTCTTCAAGAAAATATTCGAAATAAACGTGAGATAAAGGTATCAATGACAATTTAAGCATTTTTTTGAAGAAATTAGGATGCATAATTAAATTTCACACCTGCGCACATGCGCACACGTGTACTAGTTCAAACAGAGACATGTCTCTAGGTTCAAACAACGTGGTTATGACGATTTTTCATTTTCACCTTTTCAATTTTTTCATCAAATCATATTTGTAAACGTATTTCTGATAATTTAAATCTTTGACTAAATTAATTAGATGCAAACCGCTGAAATGTAAGAAAATAACTTTGAATAGACCGATCAATGTCCGGTTCAAAATAGTTTACCTGTCACCTGAACAGGTAAATTTCATCTGTTTGACAACTAATTAGCCTTGATTAAAATGAGAAGGTATTAAAGTAGGGGTTGTTTTGATAGTACTTAATGATCATGTCACTTTTATGACCGGAAATGTGTGGCTGTTAAAGGCAAAACGTTGGGTCAAAAAGATCGCGAATTATGTTAAAATGACCATCTCTTAAAGCCTTGAAAACTAAAAAGTAGATGGCCGTTTCATGCTTTGCCCAGCCGGACTTTTACCGGACATTATACAAATGTCCGGCATATATGACCGTTTTGGAAGCCTTGCCGAAAATATGTTTTTCGAAGGAATTTCGCCTGGCCAAGTCATTACAGTACATGCATCCTGGACATGGGATTTTCTATCTGGACGCGACATATTTGAAACCTGTGCTCTGGTTACACTAACTAAGTCTTATCACTTTAAATGGTATTCTTAAACTGTAAAAAATAATTAAAAATTGTGATTATTGTTAATATTTTTACTGAACAAATTATTCTGACTCTGCAAGGCCAGTCTTTGCACTTACTCCTTAATGTTGCTGCTTAGTGGAGAAGCAGCAAATACTTATAAAATTACTTTCAAGTCTGGTTATACCTGGCTGGGGTTCAAACCCACTATCTCCAGCACTCAAGGTGAACATGGTACATGTACCACTAATCCACCAATACGGTGATGTATATAAGATGGTGTCAATATATAAATAAAATGTGAAATTGACAAATTTACATAAATTAATGCCATTGGTGTATAATGGCAACAAAGATGTGCACGTTATCCAATAAATTCAAAAATTATTTGAAAATGTAAATAACCACTTTTGCTTTTTACAACGTGTAACATTCTAAAATGGAATACAGAAGTCAAAATTGGAAATCTTTGCACATGATCTCAACATAATTGCTAAACAATCCATCACTCATAATTTGGAAAACCATGATGCTTTTACATATGCTGTATTTTATCATGGGTTGTCCTTTCTGCCATTGATCACAATGTTTACACTAAACAGAACCAATACCTAATTAATATACACAGGGACAAAATAAATTAAAAGTGAATTATTTTGTGGCCCAACTTCCTTTGAAGGACTTGCTGGGCCCATTTTAAAGAAGATAAATCAGAGCAATCTCAGACTACAGACTTATGACTCAATATGTGTTCCAAAACATTATGCAGAGCAGATATTGTATGAATTTTTCCACACCAGGGATCTCCATGACCTGTATAATGATGGCACACCACCTTTGATAACTTATCGTCCACCATCACTAAATAATCTCCTCCATGGACATGCCATTGTTAAATAGTCACTGCCATTTTTCATTTGTCAGCAATTACATTACAATCAATTGCATAACCTCTCTTGTCCTATTAATCCAAAGGGTCCTGGAGCTCCTAGTTACTGTTTAAATGCCCACAATTCTTAGTTTGTTCTCTCACTATGAACCCAATAAAGTAAGAACACAAATGAGGAACAGATTGTCACAGGTGTTCAGCAATCTTTTTACATGAAGCAACCCAGGCAAACTCTGACAGAAGTAGTCTTTGACATTAGCTGTATTGTGGTACTCACAATCTTACCTGTATATAAAGTTTTAAACTTAAGCACCCCACCACACTGTAAATTTATGTGTAAATATTTGATTAAGCATTAAGCTCATATATCCCAAGTTGGAGTGCTCCGATATATAACGGAGGAAAATACCTGTACAGAACAGAACTCCTTGATTTAGAGAAACCAGGCTACATATTGAAATGACATTAATATAATAAACAATATATCTGTCTATACCCTATTCTTTACAATGAAATGGAGGATAATTTCATGAGGCAAGGGGTTTGTCCTTATAAAGTTCTTCCATGGAGATTCCTGCATACATAGGACTGTTAGACATCAGCCAATATGTTTGCAAGGCATCTAACTGCATGTTGTCATAACCATTAGATGATTCATTTATACAAAGTTGCTTGAAATAAAGACTAAAATCTTGAGCTACAAATGTGCTTACAACGTACCTTGTTATATGTATCAACAGCCAAATGTGTGCCATAATGATACCAAATTATGGTCATTTAATTGTTACTCATCAGTAATACTTTTCTGCCTTTGAATTTTCTAAACATGAACAAAAAGCTTTATCCATTCTTCAGAAAATTATCCCCCTTTTCTTTTATACAGCATAAGAACAGTTATGTGTTAAATGTTTTCAAACTATGCACATATGTAATGTTTGAGCGCTATTTCATATTGCAAAGACTGGGAAAAGGTTGGAATGCTTAACTATTAACGTTTTCTATCCGGTTGCTTCGCCATGTTCGTTCATTTATGGCTTTGGGTACCATTTGTCTTTGATAAACATGATAAATATTTGATTTTTAACTCATCTAAACAGAAATAAAATTCATACAATTAAACGTTAAAAGTTCTGTGAACAATGTCTTCTATACGAAAGGACTGTCTTTGTCGCCATTCAATCGTGCAATCAGATGGTTTACTTCCTGCCAGGACCAACACTCGACAACAGAAAAGCCACGCGATGTAAACAAATCGATCTTAGATTGCGCAACAATGACCCATATTTGGCGAGCTAAATATAGATTGAAACATTATATATATTATTTACATAGTCCTACAATGATTGAAAATAACTTATTTAATGATTCTGTACTCTTTCTAAACTATTGCTTTCTGACCTGCTCTGTCGTCTCTTTCTGTGCCGCCATGAAGAAGGTTGTGACCACGCATGCGCTCTTTATGCCGTCTAAGTGCTATTTAGTTCCCGCGGTTTTGTCACCAAGACACAGAAAGCACTAAACATAACGAACATATGTTTGTCGAATTTCTTATTGGCTGGAATAAGAAGAAATACGAGTGCATATCTGGGTAGAATTATATTGTTAAGATTTATTACAATATGGTCACATTTTAGGGAAATTCGGTAAAATTAAAATAAAATTGTTAAAAATGGTAAACCCCCACAGCAATTAAAGGCATTATAGGTTTTTTCTGGGACTGGTATTTACCTACGGAAAAATGGTTAAAAGTGTATAAAATTAATGAAACACCAGTGACAGCAAAATTTATCAAACATGTATATATCAGTTTAGTCTTGGTGATAACAGCCTGGACAAAGGCAGCAACAAAAATCAATTCAGTAATTGATACTCGTTAAATGAAAGTAACACTATAAATTTCGTGCGACCGATGTATTTATATCCACCACCCCAGGAATGCTCGAAAGCCAGGTAAAAAAATGAAAAATTAAAAGAGTAAAATATATGTATAATTTATTGGTTTTTTTTTTGTTTTAAAAGAGAATTTAGCTATCACTAAAACTTATCAATGAACAGTAATAAGATAGACTTTCTTCAGAAGCACGGCATGACGAAAAAAAGAATGTTTCCACTAAAAAAATAAAGGTATTGCCTAAATACCCTATACATTTGTCAAACTATGAAGAAGTATGTTCTGTTTGCAATGCACCAATGTTTTTTTTATTGTTTACGGACGGATTTGATTAGAATGATAAAAATGTTCAAGTTTCAGAAGCCTCATAATTCCGTGACTATCGACAGGGCAAAGATAATTCACAATAAATAATTAACTGACAAAGGTCTATATTTTATGACCGGACGCAATGAGGTAAACCTTAGTCACTAATATGTTTTTTTTCTCTGGATGGCAGACCTTAGTAATACTTTCACTTAACCTACTAATATGTTTTCTCTGGATGGCAGACCTTAGTAATACTTCCACTTAACCACTAATATGTTTTCTCTGGAAGGCAGACCTTAGTAATACTTCCACTTAACCACTAATATGTTTTCTCAGGATGGCAGACCTTAGTAATACTTTCACTTATAAGTTAAGTGAAAGTGTAGTGAAAGTGTTACGAAGGTCTGCCATCCAGAGAAAACATTGTCATGTTAGAACTTTAAGTGTCATTATTTGTTTCTAATGAAAGTCTGATAAATATACATTGTATCACCAGCTGTCTACATCAGTTATGTCTTCCTCTCCGCCTAGGCTTATCTTGATTTTCACCATTTATATATAAACATCAGTGGCGGATCCAGAAATTTTCATAAGGGGAGGGGGGGGGCACTGACTGCCTTAGAGGAGGCCCGCTCCAGTCATGCTTCAGTGATTCCCTATATACTAGTAATCAACAAAAATTTTTCCCACAAAAGAGGGGGCCCGGGCCCCCTGAAAAACCCTCTAAATCCGCCTCTGAACATAGGCCTAGTTATTAAGTCAATTTACAAAAAACTACATTCCGCTTTATGGTATGAAAAGTCCTTTGGCACTTGAAAAGCACGACTGTTTCGCTGAAATAGATGTGGCCGTTGATTGTGATCTTTGTATAAAATTCGGATAAAATGGGTATAAGGATGATCAGTTTTATCGAAATAATTTAATGATGAATGAAAAAGATAATTGTGGAACACATGACTAGTTCTTAGTAAAACGTGGAGAATTTATAAAAACTGATACAAATCAAACGTACTGGATCAGTAATGACGTGTATATTACTAAAATGGCAAAGTTAAAGGTTAGAAATCTGCAGTGTACTATTTCTAATAAGTTTCTCTTCGTTATTATAAAAAAAGTATGAGCTTAAAATATTTTCTCACGAATAGGACACATAATTGTCAATCATATATTATAAAGGTTTGAATACTGAAAAAAAAATACTGAAAGCATGTGCATTTGATATAATAAAAAAAACTATAGGCATGTTAGTTATATAGTAACTTGAAAACCGTCGCATGGCACTACCGCCTTTCGCGTCAAGAAAAATTCGTTACACGTGAATCTAATTGTTATCCGTGTTAATTGTCTGGTGTAGCAAACACATTTAAATTCTAGTTCATTGTATTGCAAGTATTTCTTGGTTTTTGAGAGAGAAAACAAACATTTGATTAAAGAACCTTCTTTAAATTACGGGTTCAGTTCTTTGACAATTAAACATACAACTAAATTCTGTGTACTGAATTAATTTTTATCTGTGTCCAATTTTAGGTATGGTTATTTTATTAAGTTTTTTCCATTAATAATGGATTTTAACATTAGATAAGGTCTCAGTTACTCTGTGCATCAAATGACTTACGTGTTTAAAACAACATATCTGGAAAATGTAAAAAAAAAATCTACCTGTTGTGCGCATGTCTGTAGCATATCTGTTGTAGTACTTACAGATGACCTAGAAATGACTGGTTTATTGATATTCAACAGCAATGCATGAATACATATATAACAACTTCACTACCGGTTCATGCAATGCAGAAGGAACAGTTTTTGAACTGTAAGGGGTACCAGTGGTATACTGTTCTTGCAACGATGACCAGGATGAACAGTAATTGTAAACGGATAAGAATCAAATGATAGTCTATTAACACGTTTCCTTGATTACAACGTTATAACTGAAACAACATCTTATACAGCAAAAACTAATCTCATTTATACATATATATGTCAGATGTACACATTCGTAGTATATAGACATTTCAGTAATTTTGATATGCATTTTTAACCGCACACATTTATTGTTTTAATCACCAATGAGAAAGCTTTCGATGATTATCTTTCTTTTAATTAAACAGACATATTTTTTTCATTTAAATAATTCCAGTTTGAAAGTGGACCATTTAAACTGAGTAAAATTCTATTTATCGGCTGTTTTCTGTTTTGTAATAAATATTACATTTATTATATATAAATGCAAGGTATATTCTTACTTTTAGTCCTATAGAAACTTTCCAAAAAAAGTTACACACGGAAAGAAAGAAACGAAAAATTATTATCGAAAGAATAAGCCAGCAGAACTCCGTGTTAAATATTTCAGTATATTATGTATGGGACGAGTTAAACAACATATATATCATATAACTTTTGTTCCACTTAAAAACAGGATGGTTCTATAATCACAAAAAAGTTATGCATAATAATATTCAATCGGTGATAAATTTTCCAATAAGTGATTAAAACAAAAACTGACTTTTTGTCCAGCTACTACAATATCTGTATGATAAATAGCCTCGTAATATTATAATTAACATCGCGATTTTATTACTATATAATCTACCCATAAGAGAGACATTCAGCGTATTTTACGTTAACAAGTGCGGTAATCGGCAATGTAATGGAGTTTTTTTTATAAAATTCTGCATGCACCAATAGCAAAACATAAACTCAGCAACTACTTGCACATTTCATAGGAATAAAACAGAAATTTCTATGTCAATAAAATAACATTTCTACTGCTGAAAATTCACAGGACAGGGTTTCGAGAAATACCAATTCAAAGTTAAATTGTTGAACTTTTGTGTGATGTTGAACGTATTCCATATATTTTTAACCATAATTGCCGGGTATTTAATCTCGAAGAGTATAAAAGTTACATATCCATTGATTAAATTTTATATGCAGTCTCACATGTGCTAAGTTGCTTGCAATCGCTAATTATCAGTGAAATATCCCATCATTTACGTAGCCGATATCTAAATTTAATCTACAAGGTACTCATGTAAAGAAAAAAAAGTTAAATTTGACACCTGAACATATGTATCTATTTATTTAAGCTATTTATATAAAGGATACCACAGATTCAATTAAATCTGCTTCATATTTTGACTTCCATCTAGAAATTGACAATGATGATCGGTTGAGAACTAAACTTACTACAAAAGAGATTATTTCAATTATCCCATTATGGACTTTTCATTTCTCTAACTATCAACATTGAATACGCGTCTGCATATGTAGTATATATATCTTGTGAGCTCTTTTTAATTTTTCATTGATATCAGGTTGCTGCTTAGAAATTAGCTGTTGAACCAGGGATTCCAAATAACACAGTTAAAGTAATCCCTTCGACTGTTTTCCGCAAGCAATCATGTTCTGGTTGATCGTTTCGGAATATCGGTGTCACAAATGACCACGGATATATGTTCAACTTTTCGTACCCAAACGATCGATCCCGTCCTCTTTTCAAGGCATCACATAATACGACCGATCACTGAATGTTTATCTGCCTTGAGCAACAAAAAATGTGCCACTATAATGGTTCAGGAACTGCTCACTCTTCCGGAGAATCTGAGTTCAACAGGGGTCGTGTTAATCAATCTTTGATTTCCTCCTGCATGTGCAGCATTCTGTGGACATGTTTTATTTTTCGTCTTTTGTTTTGGCCATGCTGTTTTTTTTTTTTTTTTTTTTTTTCAATTTATGGGTTTTGATCAATATTTGCATTCCAAAGTAATTAACTGTGCATCACAGCTTGCAGATTTGTTCCTGTTCTATTAAAAAGAATATTGAAGAAAGCGATTGATTGATTGTTGCTTACTTAGCGCCAGGTGACAAACAATTCATGCATATTCAGGCATGCAGAGAACAAACTAACAATTAATACAATAGGTAGTTTCTGAAAGGTAAATCGACCAGAATAAAGGGTCGAACATTTGAATTGCCACTGGAAAATTAGGATATGTTAAATAGGTGCGTATTTATGCATCCCGAACAGCCAAACGGACGCAAACCTTTAGCAAGGATTTTACTGTCGAATGGGAGAAGTCCAGGGATGTGCATAATTGTGTACCTCAATTAACCCTTGCGTTTTGTAGAGAAAGACAAGGTAAGCACAATGCTCTAATATTTTGTTCCAATATCACACAGGGCATATTCCTTTCCTACTAAATTTACTTACATCTCCCTACCTTGGTTATACTGTTTTGTGT